CTGTAAGTTCGCTAAAATCCACACTGATGAGTCGCAAAACCAATTAATGCCCATACATAAAAATGTACGGATTAGTATACATTTAACTAATTTTTTTATTTTTAATTATTTTTTGTTTAATTTTATTAATTTTTAAATTTGCTTTTTTGCGTTTGTTTGCTGCAATTCCCGCCAACTAGGTATGACTTGTTATTACACACAAATGCACATAAAGTCCATCGAATTGTTGTGGGTTACAGTTATAAATATAACACAGACACGCACATGTATCTCTACAGCTCCACTTGATGCATACGACAACTATTGTGTCATTTGGAGCGCAAGTGTTTGACTCCCTTTTCGGAGTAATTAAGAGCGTAACTGTAACTGTAGCAGCGTTTTGGGCGTTGGAGCGCGTTGTTTTTCGGTATACGCTTGTTTTTATGTGTGCACGAACTTTTATTACATGAAACCAATATTTTTTTACTTGTTTTATTCAAAATTTATACTCGTATATGCGGAAGTTTTATATATATATATATATTTTTTTTTTTTTTTTTTTTTTTTTTTTTTTTTTTTTTTTTTTTTGTTTTGTATTTCTCCTGTCTTCACAAATTTTCTATCAAAATGCCGCAATAAGATGCTTGTATCTATTTGATTACTGTGCCACGCCCACAAAAAAATGCCACAACTCGCACACTGCTCAACGCCGAAGAGTGGTCACAAAGCAAACAGCATCACTAGTTAACCACAAAGCGTGTGAGTACACCGGAAACGGACGCGCGCCACCAACTCAACCCTCAAACGACGCACTCGGTTCTTTGCTACCGCCAGTGAACTGTTAGTTTTGACCCCAGTGCTTTACTGACTGCAGTTTAGCATGCTAGCATCTATCACCAACTTGTGTCGTTGCCTTCGGAAGTTGCGTGTGTCTACACTACGTATGTATGTATGTATTTAGTGGCAGCAGCAACAACTCGGCACTGCATATGGACCTATCCCAAGCGTATCTTTAGTGCAGCATGCGCTCTCTATTTTGCCGGCATATGCTTCGCTTTTGCGTGCTCTATGACTCCGCGTTGACTCCTGCTCGCCGTAATTAACTTTTCACTTCACTACTTTAGCGGTAAATTAAGCGTCACACCACTTCCCTTTGCTATTTTATATATTTTTATTTCCACAAGCATATAACGCACTTCACAATTTAAACTGAAAAATCAACTGATCACCACTGCTAAGTGTGTGTTCTGAGTACGCTTCGCTAGCTTGGCATGCAAAGGAATTTTAATTTAATTCCCACAAATTTGAAATTCGACTATCGTTGCCGCATACGCACAAACGAACTGGCAAACATTCGTGTGAATAGACACTTGCTTCCAACAACGTTCACTCTGGTTTCTTTCCGCCTCTACGAAACGCGCACCCCAATTGCTTTCCTTCGACTGATGTTCGCATTCGCTCGTTTGTCGGTTCGTTCGTTGGCGGCTTGTGTTTGCTGTTGAGTAGCTGTAGCTTTTCATCGCCAAGTACCGTACTATAGGTGGGTCTCTTGAACAGTACAAGCGAAGTTAACAGCAGCGATTTATGTTAATGTTCGGAACAGCGTTGCCACTTTTAAATGTTTCTTCATAACAGTTCGGCACTTCGGGCTTTCTTCATAACTTTTCAATCAAGAAAATTATAAATGTATACAGTTGGCGCCATTTAATGTCGTTCTGTTAACGTTAGAGCAGTTTAGCATTTATTTACCGATTAAATTCGTTAAGCTTCACATTAAAAGAACCGTTAAGTTGTGGTAATTCAACTTGCAGATTCAGCAAGCAGCATTTTCCACTTATTTCATTGATATGCAGCCTTCTCATTGTTTTCTCTTATGATTAGACGGCGTGACTCTGGGTAAACATATTTCTCTTACACGCAATAGACTTTTTATGGAATTAAAAATGTCTAAGTTTTTCATAAAATAATTAGCAGCCATATGTCAGTTAATTTCTGGTTAATTCTACAAAGACTCCTTCTTTCGGTAAAGAACCTTTTCGCTAACCAAAAGAGTCAGACGGTTGCTAACGAGACATTGGGAAAACGGTCCTAACTTCTCCATTATTCAAGTACGGGATTGTTTATGGTTAAGAGCTCGTTTCTAACAGTGATCACACTTAAACAAAATACATATATCATAAGACCCTTAAAAATCGACAAAGCTCTTGCGCCTGTCACCAGTATCAATTATTTTGGTTCGCAGAAAGTAAGAATACCGATATGATTCAGTCTCAATCTTAAAATAGCTGGAAATGAAGCACAAATTGTCTGATATGTTCAGCTCACCCTGCTCCATACAACTTTGACAACCAGCGTCCGATAAGTTTATAAGCCTTAACGCGTGAATGCTTATCGTGCAGTGTTAAGTATGTACCCCTACATTTACTTTTGTTGCGTTAAATTTTACATGTAATGGTCCCAGTCGATGCTCGCTAAGCGCACGCAAGTTCCATTGATCCTATGTTAGAGCGTAAGGATCCAATGGAGATCCAATTGTTCCGATTCCGAAGTGAGCGTAGCGACAGTTGCTCCTCTAGCTAGCTCATCAGCCTTGCAGTTACTAGCAATTCCTTTTTGAGTCTGGACCGAAAGGGTCAGACATTACTTTACCAGCTGTACTGTTTTTAAGTGCAGTGTTAGCCAGCTCGGCGCTAATATTGTCAAAGTGAATGCTCACCTCTCTGAAAGTATTTGCACTGCGCAGCAGTGCGTCTCTTAAGGTCATTTTAATTGTTGTTACTTCTTCCTGAAAAACACTACAGTGATCAGGTAGCCTAAAGCTAAGGTTGATAAGAGCTCCTTACAGAGAAGTCACCTTCCAAACTTCCCTGTTAACTTCGACCCATCCATAAAAAAGCTTACTTTGTCTCGGACCCAACGAGTACTCCCCATCCACATATCCCTCATCCGTATGTGAGCAGAGAAAAAACACGGTGGTAGCCTCTGGGACGCGGTGTTTCTTATTTCCAGAAATGCAGTAAAAAGAGGGGAGAATTGCGAAGTGTTCTCGTTCAGACCTATTCATATAGGCTTGAAGGCTTCCCTGCTGCTGCCATTACTACTGTTTTCGGCAGTAGATGCTATTTAATTAAATCTAAAACTAATTCGAATATATAAAAATTATTATTATGAAATAAAATAAAGAAGTTCCAATCGTACATCTGTTTCTAATTTGTAGGTCTCACAAGCGGCAGTTGGTATATAAACGTAGTAAAACTGTCAGATTTATTTTAGTTTAAACATACAACAATTTATTTCTAAATATTTCGTTAGCAGTAGCGGAGAATGTAGTTTTCCTAACAGTTTTGTGTTATTTAACAAAGCAAAATGTTTCTCAACAAATGTCAGCTGCATTAAGCTTTATAGTAATCAAAAGCACTCAATAGCTTAAAATGGTTGCTGTCTTAGATAATTTTCAGTTAGTACAAAGAGGAAGATAATTTATTATAACAAGGGATTCGAGCGAAATCGCAAATGGCGCGCAGAAAGAACGAAAACTGACCATCGAAATTATGAAAAAAGAAAATAATTAGGTAACGGGGTCACTGAACGCAGTTAAAATGGATAAAAGTGTTAACTCCTTACTTCCTACACTTGATATAGGAGCCGAGGAAACACGACCGACGACCAATGACGCACCCCTCTTTAACATCTAAGAGCTGTAACTGGCGAAAATGAAATTAAAAAAAAAAAAAAACATATTATATCACCTGGACCAAACGGCATATCAGTAGAAGTACTGAATATAATAGCCGAAAAACGACAAAACGTGTTTCTTAGATTATTTAATACCTAATTCAAAGTCAGCGTATTCCCAGAAATTTGGAAAGATATTTAGTTGGCTACACAGATGATATTGCAGGTATAATCACTGCGAGAGACACTGGTGATGCGCTCAGTAGGTGAAACCAGCTGATGATCAGAGCGCAAATGTGGCTTGACGTGCAAGATCTCAAACTCACAGCAGGCATTACTAACAAAAGAGCATATCCCGACTATAGTAGATATGAGGAGAACGACAGAGATACTAAGAACGCAAAAGGTTGCCAACTACTTGGTTGAAAGATTACACTACAGGCCTACCTACTATGCACAAATACAAGGCGCTATGGAAAATGCCTCTAAAATTATTCTTCAACTGAGAAGGTTGATGGCTAATATCGAAGGACCGATACAGGAAAAATAAAAACTTTTTCGACCAACAAAAATCACGCTTTATAAGTCTCTCATTATTACCACCTTACTTATTATACAGCGCAGAAACATGGACGATGACAACCCGAGATGAAAAAGCACTTGCAGCATTCGAGAGAACTATCCTTCACAATGTCTTTGTAGCCGTCCGCGTGAGCGAAGAGTTTCGAAGAAGAAAGAACCACTAACTGTCTAAACTACGGCAACATTGATATAGTTAAGCGTATAAAAATTCAACGCATGGTTAGGTTAAGTCACGTTGTGCAAAAGGAAATTGATGCTCTAGCGAAAGTTACTTCGACTCGGCCACCACGGATCTAATGGAAAGAGCAAGTGCATAGCGACCTGTGTGCGCTTGGGATGTACAATTGGAGTCGCCTCGCAGAGGATAGTGGCTACTGCCGAAGTTTCATATTCATGTTCGCTCAGACCAATGGTTGTAGTGCTAAAGAAGAAGAAGAAAACTAAACCAATGTGTGGCAAAAAAAAACTATACCCTGAACAAGGTGCATTTAGTTTGCCACAAAGTTTGCAACACTCAGAAGGAAACGTCGAAGACTATATAAAATATATACTACATACATGTAGATCAGCATGATGAGCTGAGTCCATTTAGCAATAACCGTCTGTCTGTCTGTATATACGCGAACTCTCCTCTCGGCTCTGAGATATCGATCTA